TCTTTTGGTTTCTGCTCCTGGGTGATATTTATGTGGTTTGCATTCCACTTCTCCCATCTCTGCTTTCCCCTTTGCTTGTTTTAAACTCTTTTATATTTCAAAAAAGGTAGATTCCAGACACACCCTACACTAACTGCCTCATTAACATAACAAAATGAACCTATTCCCAAATGGGATTTATAACCATAGGCATGTTGTTGTTAAGTGCCTGGGAGTGGGTTCTGACCCCATAGTGACTCTGTATAGGGTTTCCAAGGAGGAGTGACTAGTGAGCTTGAACTGCCGACCGTGCAGTCAAAGGAATTTACAGTCTGGTGCATTAACCCACAGCACCACATCAGGACTCCAACCATAGGCATTATGGTTATGATTATGTGCTGTGGAGTGGAGTTGGTTCCGGGTTTCTGAGGCTGTAAATCTTTACGGGAGCACAAAGCCTCATCTTTCTCCCATGGAACAGCTGGTAGTTGAACAGCTGACCTTGAGGTTTGCAGCCCGATTGTAACCACTACAGTGCCAGAGCTCCTTAACCATAGGCATGGAGGTTAGGGTTTGCAGTACATATTTTGTTGTTGTTGTTGTTGTTTGTTTTATTTATTTATTTATTTGCAGTACATATTTTTGGAGACACAATTCAATCCCTAACAGGACAGAATCAGTTTTTTTCTCTTTGCTTTTCAGTTCACATTATTCCAGTTCTCCGTAAATATTAGATCTCTGACATATAACACAAGATCCCTGTTGGCACAGTGGTTAAGTGCTTGGTTGCTAACCAAAATAACATCTTCATGGGAGAAAGATGAGGCAGTCTGTTTCCGTAAAGAATGTAGACTTGGAAACCCTTGGCTATCCTATAGGGTTGCTGTGAGTCAGAATCAATATGATTATAACAGGTTTCAGTTTTTTGGATTTTGTTATGTAATAACAAAAGCTTCTTTAAACCTTATTAACTACATGAACCCAAACCAAACTGCACCCTTTGTCATTGAGTGGATTTCGACTCATATCAACCACATGTGTTGCAGATTTTCTTGGCTGTAATCTTTATGGAAGGTTATTGCCAGATTTTTTCTGCAGTGCTCCTGAGTAGGTTCAGACCATAAACCTTTAGGTTAGTAATCTAGTGTCATAAGGGACTCAGTTGGTGTATATTCCAGGCACAGCATCAGGCTGTTGAGGGGATTCCACACAATGTCACATAATGTAAAGGCTTAGAGTCTTTGGCTTGAGGAAGACTCAGGACAGTAGGAACATCCTGGGTCCAGTTTTCAAATAGATGAACTGGTGATTAGTGAAGAGAAGTTAATTTTGTAGTATGACAACTGGGTAGATGATGTAGACTTTGACTTGGCACCTGTTGAGAGAGTTGCCCAGTGGAATGGACTGACTAAGGGGTCATGAAAGGCACACTGAGCTGTAACTGAAAGGTTGGTGTTTGAACTCACCCAGTGGCTCTGCAGGAGTTGTTGTTGTTAAGCGTCACTGAGTTGGTTTTGACCCATTGGGTCAAACCCTATATAGGGTTTCCAAAGAGTGGCTGGTGAGCTTGAACCAATAACCTTGTGGTTCAAACTGACTTTTGCAGGCCAGTGCATTAACCCACAGTGCCACACCAGAAGTAAGATCTGGTAATCTGCTCCCATAAACATTATAGCCAAGAAAATTTTATGGGGTAGTTCTGCTCTGTTACATAGGGTCACAATGAGTCTAAAGTCAGCTGGACAGCAACCTAACAACAAAGGGTTGTGAACAGCTCCTCACTGAATATGTTCAGTGGCCCTTGAATAACAGCTTTTGTGGGATGCTGCAGAGGGTTTCCATCCTTGCAAGGTGTATGTCCAATGCCCCTTCCAGTGCAGAAATTTTACAATTTTGGGGCTGCCTTGCCTTTTCTTTTAACCAGTCTGTAAGACTCTTCCAAAGCCAGGATGTTCTAGCTCTGCTTTAACATATCTAAAAGACAGCATTACATAATAGGTTCTCAAACATGTGTTATTGGTTGCCATTGAGTTGGTTCCGACTGTGGCATCCCCATGGACAGCAGAATCAAACATTGCCCAAGCCTGTGCTGTCTTCATCATCCTTGATATACTGGTCCGTTGTTGTACTTACTGCATTTGGAGTGGCTTCCACCCTAAGAGGCTCATTTCTAGCACTTTATTGGACAATATTCTGGTATCATATATATGGTTTTCATGATCTGATTTTCAGAAGCAGATTGCCAGCCCTTTCTTCCTGATCTGCCTTCATCTGAAGTTACACTAAAACCTGTCCACCTTGGATGACTACTGGCAATTGAAATACAATGGCTTAACTTCCCACACCGTTGCAATGCAAGAGTCACCACCATACAACAATCTGACAGATGATGGTGACTCAAACATATTAACCACCCCTGATGCCCTTCCTTTCCCTCTACCCCCAAACTGGCTCTCCTTCCCTGCCTCCTCAATTCTTTTACTGCTAATTACAGCTCATCCAGATTCCTGAGTTCAAAACTTGGCACCTTCTCTTCAAATGTGTCTTATTTTTTTGCTTTTCTCTTTGCCTTGCACATCTCTGCTCCCACTCAGACTTTCATGGCAACATCAACTGGATTTCCTGCCACCATCACTTGCTTCTGCATCTGAGCCCCTGTAATTACGTGTGCCAGGTGACCCCGCCCCACTCATTTCGCTATGGAAATTTTATTCATGGAGTACTATTCATATCTTAGAGGACGTGTTTCACTAAGTACACTTCTAAGTGCTGCTTTAAAATGACACTGTAGGATAAGCACTGGACTGCTAACCACAAAGTTGGAGATTCAAACCCTCGGAAACCCTATACAGGGGGATTGCTATGAGTCAGAACCGAATCGACAGCACTTAGCAGTAACAATACCTAGTCTCTGGGTGGTGCACATAGTTAAGTGCCCACTATTAACTGAGAGGTTGCTAGTTTGAATCCACCTAAAGACGCTTGGTGATCTACTTTTGAAAAATTACATCCCTTGAATCCCCTATGGAGCATAGTTCTTTTCTGAAACATATGGGGTCACCATGAGTTGATATGGATTCCACAGAGACTGGTTTGATTTGGGCATATGCCTTGTGCATTCCTGTCGCTACGTCAGGTTTTGTGCAGTTGATCTTCTCCATCCTCACACCCAACCAATGACATGGAAGCTTACACACACGTACTCAGCCTGAGGGGCCTCCCTTCTTCCTCTGCTTGTTACAAGTCTTCTTTTGCTCATAACTGAACTCCTCTTGTGATCAAAGAAAATACAGGTCAGCATTCACTCATGTTTGTCCACCTCATCACCGTGTGAGAGGATTGTGCTTATTTATTTGTTTATTTGTTGATTGTCCATCTCCCTCAGCTGTAAGCGCCAGGATATGGTGTAGCCTTGTCTGGAATCCTCAACTCTTAAGTTTCAAGATGGCAAGTTCTTACCTGTTTCAATGAATTTCCAGCTCCCAAAATACTGTCTTGGGCAAAGACACATCCAGCAAATATTTGTGAATGAATGCTCATGTATCTGTCCCTTGAAATCGATTGTGAGTTATGGGGCAGGCCCTGAGAATGATTTCCAGTGGTGTCCGTGGACCTGTAGCTGTTGCTGTTTGAAGCACTGTGATTCAGAGACACCTTGATGGAACTGGGTTTTAAAGTTCTTAATTTCAGTCAGTCTCATAGAATTTTTTTTGGACTGGAAATCCTATTTCATTCTTTAAAAACACATTCCCTTGGACTCTTTTGAACACTTGAGACCTCTTGTCAGGCAGGCATTTCATCCCCATCAGGAAATCTCATCAAAATGATATTAGATTTGCACATGAGGAAGATAAAAATCCTCCAGGAAGTTGTTGCTGTTCTCTAGATTGACTTTAGATATAAGGAGTTAAATCTTCTCAAAAGGGATTTCAACCGCATCATAGATATTGGACCAAGGCCAATTACATCCACAGTTTTGTGCAGTTTTTATTAAAACCAGTTGCCCTGAAGTTGACTCTGACACATGGTGACAGCATATCTATCAGAATAAAACTGTGGTCCATAGGGTTTTCAGTGGCTGATGTTTGGGAAGCAGATCAGCAGACCCTTTTTCCGAGGCACCTCAAGGTAACCTTAAACCTCCAACCTTTTAGTTAGCAGTCAAGTTTGTTAACCATTTGCACCACCCAGGGAATGCCTATGCAATTATTACCCTAGTTCCAAAATGTTTTCATCATCCTAAACAGAAGCTCCTCATTTCCCCGTTCGTTCTTCCTGCCCTTGGTTGTTATTGTTGTTGTTAAGTGCCGTCGAGTCTGTTGCGACTCATAGCAACTCTGTATAGGGTTTCCAAGGACCTTGTGGTCCAGTGCTTTATTCCACAGTGCTAACCCCTCAATAATCTTGGTCTCTACGCATTGCCTATCTAGATAGTTCATGGAAGTGGGAGCAGCCTTTTGTGTCTGACTTAATCAATTAGCATAATGTTTCAAGGTCATCCATGAACATGTGTCAGAACTTCATTCCTCTTTATGGCTGAAAAGCATTCCATTGTGTGTCTGTACCACATTTTATTTGACCATTCATCTGTTATTGGGCAGATGAGTTGTCCCCTTTAGGCATGACAACATATTAGTGTTGCAGTGAACATTGATGTACAAGTAGGAGTGTAATTATTTGAAGTTCTTAGCATCTAAGGCATTTTTCATGTCACTTGGTCTGGACTACCTTTCTGTTGACTTCATTCTCCCCACTATTAGGAGAAAAGATAGAGAAATGTTTGTCCTTTCTTAGGATGTAGCTCTTTGAACTTCTCCTCATTCTTGCGATCTTCTGTCCAAGTCTTCACAATCAACGCTTTCTCTCAAGCCTTTCACCATCGATGCTTCAACGTGGTGCCAGGGGTTCTAGAAAGGTGACGGTGAAGAAGACCATTGAGGTTGGCATCAAAATGAAGCTTCAGCAAAGCCTGGGTCCCCTCCTCCTTATTCTGGTCTCATTTCTCATGTGTCTCTTTCCAGAGGTGTGAACATGTATGCCATGCTGACTGGGACCCTGCCTTTCACAGTGGAGCCTTTTAGCCTGCGAGCTTTGTACCAGAAGATGGTGGACAAAGAAATGAACCCTCTCCCCACTCAGCTCTCCACAGGTAACCCCTGCCTCTCTGTGTTCCACATTCTGGGACTTTCACTCTGACTACTTTTATTTCATTTCTGACATAGTATTTGTGTTGCAGACATGGTATTAGAACTCTCCCATGATTCGTGGGGTTGTCATGAGACAGGAGCCTACTCAATGACAACAACAATTACATCACGTGTTAAAACAAGAGGCCACTCACCGTTTACTGGAGAATTTGTACCTTCCATGTGGGAGTCCCTTGTTCACTTCCCAGTCACTACATCTCATGTGCAGCCACCTCCTGTCTGTCAGTGGAGGCTTGCCTGTTGTTGTGATAATAAACAAGTTTCAGTGGAATAAACAGGTTCCAGACTAAGATGCACTAGGAAGAAAGTCCTGGTGTCTTAGTTATTTAGCGCTGCTATCACAGAATTTCCATAAATGGATGGCTTTACAAAAATAGTAATTTATTCTCCCACAGTTTAGGAAAGGAGAAGTCCTAGTTCAAGGTGTGGGCTCTAGGGTCAGGCTTTCTCTCTCTGTTGGTCCTTATTTCTTGTTGTTGTTGTTGTTGAGTGCCATCCAGTCGGTACCAACTCATAGCGACCCCATGCACAACAGAACAAAACATTGCCCGGTCCTGAGCCAACCTCACAATTGTTGCCATGCTTGAGCCCATTGATGCTGCCACTGTGCCAATCCATTTGGTCTCTTGGTAATCTTCAGGTGGCTTGGCACATATCTTCCCTCAACTCTGCTTCTTTCTTTGACTTGCTCAGACTTGTTTCTGTCTCAAAAGAGATTGATTTAAGACACACCTTACACTAATCCTGTTTCATTAACATGACAAAGACATCCCATTCCCAAGCTTCTTCCAAAAGGATCTCATATTCTCTGTGTGAAAAATAATTGCAGGCTTGCTTGTTTAAAACTCCCCATGTTACAATGTTGACTTAGAAAAAAGCATTTATAATCACATTTCTGTATCTTCTTTAAGCAATTCACTGTAAAGACATATTAGCTTCATTCAAGTTGGGCCTGTGTTTGTGATTTGAATTTTTGAGCCTGTTCAAAAGCTTTTTATTCTATATGTATAGGACAGGTTACAGGATTAAACAGAATCATCAGGTGTGTTTGTAAAATACTCTCACATTTTTAGCTGGTTCACATTTCAGTAAACAGTTTGTATCAAGGTTTGGTTTCAGATTCTGTTGATTAGTGCAGTTGGGTGTGTGTGTGTGCGTGTGCGTGTGTGTGTGTGTGTGTGTGTGTGTGCGGTTCACAATTCACTTCAAGTTTTTGACCTTGACTGTCATTTATTGGGCTCCTTAGAATAAACTTAGATAAGGCATTTGGGGAAAACAAAAAGTAATTTGTTAACTTCCAGTTACCTTCAGTTCCTGTTGAGCTGGCTTGAACTTGTAGGGCCTTTCTGTAGAACAGAATGGAAAGTTGCCTGGTCCTGCTGCATCTTCACAATTGTTGACACAGTGAGTCCATTCTTATGACCACTGTGTGTTTTAATTGCCTTCCAACTTAGGAGGCTCATCTTCAAGCATCATCCTGGACACTATTTGGTTGTCATTGACTAATTTTTAGAAGTAGTCTATCTTAGTCTGGAAGCCCCACTGAAACCTATCCACCATGGGTGACCCTTCTGACATTTGAAATACTGGTAGCCTAGCCTCTAGTATCACAGCAACACGCAAGCCACCATAGTGTGACAGACTGACAGATGAGTAGTGATGAAAGCACAGCACTTGACATTTATTACAGTTATGTATATTTCTCTTGAGTTCATAGAGCATCCATCGACCTACCTGGTCATGAAAGTATGGTTGCCCAATGGAATCCAAGCTGAAATACATTCTTCTGCACAATGATTTAATTTGATCTCTTATGCTAAGGTGGTGGACTCTGGAGGTTGAAAGCAGAGGGAGTATTTTATGATTCTGTAATTATAGAAGAATTATCTTTGCACTGAGGGGTCTAATTCTTGGTGGTAGGAAATGGATAAAATGTTGATGAATTTTAGATCTAATTTAATATTTAGATCTTCAAGCTTTCAGAGATGGAGTGTTGGAGGCACAGTGGTGAAGCACTTGGCTGCTAACTGAAAGACTGGCAATTCTAACCTACGCAGCAGCTCTGTGAGAGAAAGATCTGACAATAGGGCTGTTCTGCCCTCTTACATGGGATCACTATGAGATGAAATTGACTTGATGGCCCTTCATAACTATACAGAGCTTTCAGAAATGTGAAGACACCAGAGCACAAATGAGGAATGGTTATTTATTCATTTGCTTATTTTATAAATACATATTGTAAACCAACTATGTGTGTCGGGCATTGGGAAGATAAAGAACAAACTGCGTGTGTTACCGTCATGAGTTTATATACCAGTGGAGAGGGACAAACACAAATGGATAAAAAAACAATATATTTTATGTTTGGTGAGTGCTTTAAAGCACATAAAATAAAATAGGATAAAGGACCAGAGGGTGAAACTGTTTTGTTGTTGTTGTTGTTTTAAATAAGCATTTTAAAACATATTTTATTTTTACTTAATTTTGTAGATTCACATGCAGTGGTAAGGAAGAAAACACAAAGGTTCCATAGATCCATCTTCTAATTTCCCTCAGCGGAAATACAGTGTCACAACCAGGAAATTTACATTGCTATATTCCTTGGTAGCACAGTGGTACAATAGTAAAGCACTTGGCCAGTGTTTTGAACCCCACCCCCAACAGCTACTCTCTGAGGAAAATAAGTGGCAGTCTGCTTCTATAAAGATTACATCCTTTAAGATCCTATGGGTTCTCATTACTCCAGAACTTGTTTTTAATCTCTAGTAATATTTTCCCAAAGACCCATAATGATGCTGTGCATTAAGCATTGGGCTGTTAAGGTCAGTGGTTCAAACCTTCCAGACATTCCATTGGAGAAAGATAAGGCTGTCAGCACTCATAAAGAATTGCAGTCTCGGGAACTCTATGGAGCATTTCTTCTCTGTGCTATATAGTCACCATGACTTGGAATCGACTCAATGGTAGTTTGTTAATATTACTCTAGCCTTAGTAGCTTGGGCTGTAAGTGACTTTTGACAATGAAAATTAAATTTACCCATAGACATCTACCTAAGTGTTTGTGCTTTTTAAAATAACTATCTGTTGTTAAGTGCTGTTGAGTTGGTTCCGACTCATAGCGACCCTGTTGTATAGGGTTTCCGAGTAGCGGCTGGTGAGCTTGAACCACTAACCTTTGGATTCTAACCCACGTTGCAGTCCAGCGCATTAACCCACAGTGACACACCAGGACAATTTGATCTATGTGTGATCTCACATAGATCAAATTGACAACTTGAAAGGGTAGATAAGCTTAGCAGACAGTGAGTCCAAGTCAGTGGCTGTGGAAGAATTTGGAGAAGAGTGAGAATATTTGTGCAACTTGGAGATCGTAATCAATGACTCTGGCTAAACATGTAGAAATTGCTGAGATGGTGTGTGACTGTATATCTGACCCAAATAAATTAGTTTACGCATAGAGAAGAAAAAGCTGCACTTCTGAGGAACTGAAAAGCAATCTGAGGGTAATTCCAAGAAAGAAATATTAAAAATGTTTCAAGCAATTTCAGCACCACTGGAGCCAGAGTCCTTGCATTGGGCCTGCTGTGAGCAGACAGCTTTATGTTGACCTTGACCTCTGTGTGCTTGTTAGAGAGTTGCATGTTCCCACAAGACTTTGTTGTCCTTGCTTGTCAACAATGCATTGCATTTCTGTATCTGATTTTCCAATTAAGATCTGAACTTTTATTTTTTTAACTGTTGGGCTGTTGTTGTTGTTAAGTGCCATTGAGTCTGTTTCAAATCATCGCAACTCTTTATGGGGTTTCTGAGGAACAGTGGGTGGATTTGAACTACTGACCTTGTGGTTCATGATCCACTACTTAACCTCCAGCACCACACCAGGAGTTCAACTGTTGCGATATATATAGTGCTGTGGGATAATGCACTGGACAGCAAGGTCGGTTGAACCACAAGATTGGTGGTTCAAATTCACCAGCTGCTCCTTTGGAACCCTATACAGGGTTGCTGAATCAGAATTGACTCAATGACACGTAACAACAACAACATATATGTATATGGCTGGCTGGTTGTGTGCCATGGAGTCGGTTCCGACTCATAGCGACCCTGTACAGGGTTTCTGAGGCTGCAAATCTTGACTGGTGTTATAAATCAGAGTGAGAGGCCTGGAAGGCAGCCCACAGTCTTTGAAGTGCTCAGGGCTGGGAATGGCCCAGCCTGGCAGGGCCTAGAGCTGGGAGTCAGCTGCTGATTAATTAGCCTAGGGCATCTTCCCTTGTTTCTGAGAGTGAACGACTTTGGGTTTGCATATGAGCTGCTTCTCTTCTGACAGCTCGCCATTTTCAAACCCTTTGCCCTTTGTGCCCCACCACGTTTGTCTCCTTTGCCCCTTTCTGTACCATCCTCAGAATTGCCAGCATGTTCACATCTCTGATTGTGGCTGTGGTGCCAGTCCAACTCACTGAGAGATTGACTCCCTCTCCCTCACTGACCTTCTACTTCACCAAGCATGATATCCTCCTCCAGCAATTGACCCCTTCCCCCAGCCTTTGATATGGTGTTGCTGTGGGTTTGGCATTGGGCTGCTAACTGCAAAGTCAATGGTTTAAACCTCCAAGTCGCTCCACAGGAAAAAGATGATTCTGTCTGTTTTCATAAAGATGTACAGTCTTAGAGTCCCTATATTGGGTTGTTATGAGTTGGAAACAGCACAGTGACAGTGGGTTTTTGTTGTTGTTTTGATGATGTGTCCGAAGCAAGCAAATTGGAAAATGTTGTGATCCAGAAAGTTTCCTTTGGGCTATTTTATGGAAGTAGATCAGCAGGCCTTTCTTCCTAGTCTTAGTTGGAAGCTCCATTAAAACCTGTCCACTATGGGTGCCCTGTTAGCATTTGGAATACTGATGACATGTCTTCTAGCATCACAGCAACATGTTAGTCACTA